GTAAGTAGGCAGGTCCTTACACTTTTAAATAAACAATTTAAATGTTTGTACCAGTGACCTACATATGGATTTATGGGTCCTATGTAACATTATATTCAGAAAATTCTGTTTGGCGTTCTGTAGCATAGAACAAAAATATGAATATTGAAGGGTGCATTTGTAAAAGCCTTTTAAATTGGTTAGTGTTCTCTTGGAATTCTTTATGGTGTGCTGATGAGATCTAAATAGATCTTTCTCGCTCTTCTTTGAAAAGTAGATATTATTATTCGTAAAAAGCTCCCAAATATTGTAACGAAATCAATAGCTAAGAGAAAAACCTTCAATGACTTAAACCTTTTGAAATATTAGTTTACTGACGTTAGATTTTTAATCAAATTATGGTTTTTTATACTTGTACCAAATGTGTTGGAGTGATATAAAAATGTTTTTTAATAATAATCTATACGTAATGTTTATAATTATGTGGTTTATGATATTCATTTGTATTTATTACAGAATACCCTAAGAAGACGTGAATCCACCACTACACATGATCTACGATGCAATGTAAGTTCTTATTAGATAATAAGTATAATAATAATGTTAAATATTTATTTTGGAAGTAATAGTGGTGATATGGGATTTTTAGTCCTATATAAGATCCCTAGCGTTGCAATTTACCAATGGATTTTCAATTTTTCGCGTTCTAGTTTGACTGAACACTTAATTTTGATAATTATTAATTAATTAATTATTCACCTGGATAATAGATAAAAATTGACTTTTCTGACGCATTTTGAGGTGTAGTCTTGAAAAAATGACAGGGCGTTCGATGCAATTAAGTCTGCACTTTGTCATTAGTGGTTTTACCAATTTTTTTGGTCGGATTTCAAAAGAGCAAACTGCAGTGTTTCAAAATGGTTATTCTCCAAAATTGATACGAGTTCAAATTTTGTGGGCTTACCTCTATAAATCTAACAATACGGTTTTCAGTTTATTTATTGAAGTTTCAATAGTCTTGATAGTACTCGATATATAAAACATAATAAATGTGAATTGAAAACAAAACACTAAATTGTTTGAACACTTTTCAATAATAACTTTCGACGAATCGTTATGACCGAACGGTCATTTTCGGGATAGGTTATAGACAATACTGACTCTTAAGTGGTCTAGGCTGTAATCTAGACCATGGAAATCAAACAAGCAATGACTTCAAAATTGATTATCCTGAACAATTAATTGGAATTGACAGTAAAAGTAATGCACCACTGATATTAAGCAAGTTTTACTGTATGACGACTGTGACATTTTAGAATTACCGAGCGCCATAGCCTATAGGTTTAGACTTTAGATTTAGACCATCTAGGAAGGCTCCGGTTCGGTTCCAGATCCGCCTAACCTGGTCTGGGCCCCATTGGGATCACTTAGGCAAATGCTTCTCTTCTGTTTTTATCTTTTCTGCCCTAATACTAACACCCACCCATTCCCTACATTGAAACTCAAAGGACAAGCCCGTGTTTGATTAATAAGACATGCGTACCGATTAAATGCGTTTATTGATTTGTGACACACACACAAACACACTTGTGCCAAGTTTTAGCCATTTGTGTAAACACGAAACATTAGTTTTCTTATGCGAAATCCTGTAAATTCTTCAATTTAGTATTCATCGTTGAAAGGATAATAGGGGTGTGTAGCCCACCTGCAACAGAAAACAAACAATAATGTAGAAACAGTGCCTCTTAATTAATTTGGTTTTAATTTCACATTTCTATGTATGTGTGTATCCACTTACATTTCCAATGGAAATATTCTACCGTTGCAATCGAACGAGTCGATATATTTAACATCTTCCGGTGTTAGTTGAAAATCAAACACGTCAATGTTCTCTTCAATTCTCTTCTTATTTACTGACTTTGGGATGGTTATTATGCCCCTTTGAATATGCCATCTAATTATTACTTGTGCGGGAGTTTTCTTATACTTTTTGCAAATAGTTTTCAGTTTAGCGTCATCCAATAACTTTCGATCGCCTGGTTTTACCCATGGATGAGCCGGGGATCCAAGTGGACTATATGCGGTTATTGTAATTCCTTTTGATTTGCAAAATTCAAGAAGTTTCTTTTGGTTGAAATACGGATGGCATTCGACCTTAGCAGGGAGACAAAAGTGTAACAATTTCTTTAATTGGCTTAGTTTTCGATGACTTGGGTATCTATTAACTAATCCAAATTTAAAAGGGAAGAAGGAAGTCAATACCATTTCTTTGTACAATGAAAGTTAAACAATGGCTTAATGCAAAAAACCATTCAACATAAATTATTATAATTACATTTATTTAGGCATTCCTTTAATGACATTGTTTAACTTACGACAGAATAAGTTGCTATCGTTCAAAGAAATGAGAGTCAGTTAAAGATGTTGCAAATGTGTGAGATGCAAAAAATTATTCTATTATCAAATTACTATCTTGAAGATATATAATTTTGAACCTATTGCTTATGAGCTAGACCATATTAAATTATGTATATTCTATATGTTCTGATCAACACAGTTAGAAATATTTCGTAGAAAATAGTGTCATTGGTTGTATAGGAGATCGGACGTGTAATATTGCGTTAACAAGTTGAGGAACCCGGAGCAATTTGGTGGGAGTCGGTTCCAAGTGTTTACCACTAGGAAGTCCGCTGTGACCCATTAGCTTGTAGTTTTACACAGTGGATGGGATTTCTCGAGTTTCAGGTACATTGTACAGGTTGTATGTGATTTTATACATCTCAATAAGATCAGAGCGAGTTTAGCGGATCCTTGTGGATATTCGAGGTCATGTAAGTTTCGGGGAAGCTTGGTGATTTTCTTCTGGATCTTCTCAAGATGGACGACATTCTTTTTATAAAAGAGTATCATATCACGCATGCGAATTCGACCACAGGTCACACGTTTTCAGGGTATTTTTAGTCAATTGAGCCTTCATTGTGCCGACGCTTTCCTCAACATGAAGGTAGTCCTCTTTGCCTTTTTTGTGACAGGTACCAGTTGATGGTCCCACTTCAAGTTTTATGTTATGATGACACTGACATGTATGTAGGCAGACGAGGGTTCAACAACAGTGCTTACCAGGTAGTAATTGAACCGAGGGTTTTTGGCCCAAGTTGGACGGCTTTGCCATCGAGTGAAGATCTGCTTCAAGTTGGTCATGATACTGCAAACAGCTTGGTGTTGTCGAAAAAGCAGTTCCACTTTGAGACCAGATCATTTCCCAGATCATTGATGTAGAGAATGAAGAATACGGAGCCAATAACAGATCCTTGTGGGACCTCACTATAAACCGACTATGGTGTAAAGATGGAATCACCAATCGAAACATTCGGATTACAGGAATATCGTCAGGACCAGGGGAGGAGTCAGGATCCAGACTATTCAGAACTTGGTCGACATCTATGCTTGTAAAGGAGACATCTTCCAGAATGATCTTGCCAGCGTTGGAGCTGGTATTAGAGGTGCCCAGTTCATCGACCGCGGTGAAGACTTTAAGGAACTCGGCTGCAAAGGCCTCCGCTAATCGGTTAGTAGTTCTCCTGCTTAGTTTCTGATGGTTTTGGGAATTCCCGTGTTAGACTGCATGTGGCTCCGTATGAACGAGAACAGTTTTCTTGCCTCCCTGGGCGATGACTTCCTTCTCATAGTCTTTCTTCCTCTGCCTCGCGTAAGATGCAAAGAAGCATGAGATTACTCTATATGCGCTGTAGTCACTTTACTTATTTGCGGTTTTATATTTTTTCCGAGCCTTCAGTTTCCTTCCAGCAATTGTTAATCCAAGGTTTATTCACTTTATGTTGTGGTGTGCGATTTCAAGTATGGATCAACAGAAAAGTGTTTACGGTTTGATGGAAGGAGTTCCGTTACTCTTGGACATCGTAAGTAAGCAGTTGAAGAAGTTCGCCACTCGTGCTAGCAAAACTTTAGGAATTAACTTTAGACTCGAATCAGAACAACATTAGCTCACCTACTGATCGCGAAAGCCATTACTAATTTAACTACTGTAGACTTTTTCGTCACTTACTTGATTGGTAACTGGTACAACAGTAGTCAATTGAAGAAGCCTTTCGATCTGCCTTTTATTAAAATTGGATATTCCAATTGATTTGACGAGCCCTTTTTTGTAAACTTTCTCCATTGCTTTCCACGTATCCACATAATCAACACCTTCTGGAATGACATGGCCATTTTCGTCGACTGGGAATACATTATCTCCTGGCTGGAATGCATTAATTGCTTATAAGCTAACTAACTCAATTATAATATCAATGAAATCATACAGTATGTAATTTGGATTTATATTATTTTTTTGTGTATATCTGGAAGCCTCGAGCATTGCCGATAGAAGTACTAATTGGGGGTAGTTTATCATCTATATAATTAACGTTCGATTAAGCTTTTAGAATGTTTCCTTTTCCACAACTCCTGTCTTTATGTGCTCGAGAGGTGTAACTGATAATCCTATGGAACTTTCAAAAATACTAGAGATAGTAGCAATAACTTAATCCAAAGCCCTGTCTAAAAACCATATTTTCTAATAAAGGATAAATAAATAACAAAGAGAATTGGAATGAACCCTCATAGACCCATACCACCATGGTATGGTGTAAGTTATTATAAGTTATAAGTGTGGTCAGCCTCTATTCGGATGATCCACTAGCACGTTTTAATTCTGTCATGCATCTGGGCACCACGGTTGAAATGCGGATCTCCGATTGGTTGGATTGCATCCCCTTACTGGTTTGAAGGATATGATTAGGATCATACGATTACGGTAAAAGAAAACAGCATTTATATATATATTATTTTGTCAATGTTATCTTCTCCTACTGCGATACTAAGCATATCTAACAAACCAGTGATGGGATGCTATTGAATTAATGAGAGCGCTGTATTCCAGCTATAATGCCGAGATGTATGAAGACATTATTTCGAGGGAGGCTTGGTCCAATTCCATCTGATGTTTATGGTGTATTCTGAATGAGAAAGAAAGCTAAATGTTCTAACAAATATTTCATTCTGTTAGTGAGGCTTTGTAATAGGTTTCCAACGTTAGACGATGAGGGATGTACATGTTCTATTTTATCAATTTTGCATGATGAAAAATCGTAAGTGTCTAATCTAACGTATAGAATATTGTGTTACTTCTTACTTTAAAATCTAAAGGATTGTGCATCAAATATAGATCCAAATAGTCTAATCCCAAAGCGGTTAAGGACTCCTTAAGTGCTGGTTCGACAGCTTTCGGGTTGTGAAAGGTACTCCACAGTTTGCTGACTATAAAGAGGTCTTCTCTTTTGACAACACCCTCATCAATTTTTTCCTTGATCGCTTCACCAACTTCTTTTTCGTTTTGGTAAACCCATGCGCAATCAATGTGTCTATAGCCGGCGTCTATCGCATCCTTAACAGCTTGAGTTACTTCTCCTGGTTTAGACTAAAACAGATAATGAAAATATACATATTTGAGAAGTTTCTAAGTTTATTATCTTCGTTAAAACGAACCTGCATATAATAATAATGGATACTCATTGATTCATGATTTACGAATATGTCATTATACATTATCCACGAGAGTATCGCGTTGATAATGCTCACATAAGAAGTAAGAGAAAAATACGTTTCCGCAGTGAGTTTTAACGATCATTAGGATGATTCCTATTTAGTTTATTGTTATTTTAAATTTTTAACATCATCATCATCATCATCATAAGTTCGTCAGTCCTAATACTGGTTGGACACGCACCTCCATCCTTTCTTCCTATCCTGAGCTAATCTTCGCATTTCTCTAAAACCTAAACAACCTATATCCTTAAATATTTGCGAACAGTAATCTAATCTAAGTCTACCTCTACCCCTCCTAACTTCCGTTTCTGCCTCTGATTAGACCTTGATGCCTGAGAGTGTCCTACTAACCTATTTCCCTATTTCTTATTGACTTCCATAGAGTCTTCTGCATGCACCTTTAATAAACTTTTTCAAATTTTTAAATTAACCTTTCGCGAGCATAAATATGGCTTCCTTTTATTGAAGGCGACTCGACCCTATCCTATCTGCGCTATCCTTTGCTATATATCTCTACTACTCCTTCCGTCCTGCCTTTCTAGATACCTAAAATCAGCCACTTCTTCTAAATTTTCATCTCCTACCTTTATATTTGCTCTTTCTCTACTTTTCCTTCCCTTCCATACCAGTATTTTTGTTTGACTTTTATTTATTTTCGTACAGTACTGTTTCGTCAATACCGCTTCCATTTTATTTAAAGCTATCTCTAAGTCCTCCTTGCTAGATGTTATCATCTGCAAATCTAAGCATACTAATTTTTTGCCCCCGTATATCTATCCCTACAGTTGTACTGTCTTTAATGATATTGATCGCGTCTTCGATGTATAGATTAAAAAGTAGCGGTGACAGTGTGCATCCCTGTCTGACTCCCTCCCTAATATTTACTTCTCTACGTTGCAGCCCCATTTCTATAACTGCCTGTTGCTCTTTATACAAACTATGTATCACTCTTCTATCTATGTAANTGCATACCAGTATTTTTGTTTTATATTTATTTATTTTCATACTAAACTGTTTTATCAATACCGCTTCCATTTTATGTAAAGCTATCTTAGACTCCTTCTTATCCAACATTACACAAAATTGTAGCACAACTGTAGCGCACCAGGTACATCATCATGGGCTATTGATTGACCTCTCTTATTCCTACTTTCGTTCAGCCACAATTACTTGTGACGTCTCTCAAAATTTAAAAAGTTGAGTATGCGTTTTTTTGGTTTAATCAATATCTTCACAGTTCTGGAACTATCTGCTCCTACCACACGTAAATTAATTCGTTGCGTGTAGACTTCATTTACTAATATTAGTACATAAATTAGTTGCCTTTAAATAAAAAAAAAAAAAAACTTCATATATCAATTTAATTTTTATTATCCAACTCAACACGTTATAATTTTTTTAACTTACTTAAGTAGATAGTAACATTTAAGTAAACATGATTTTGTTACGCTTTTTTTCTTATAATACTGCTTATACAATTTAGTATTCATCGTTGTAAGGGTAGTAGGGGTGCTTTTTAGCCCTGCAATATAAACAATTCTATTAGGACAAAGATGTGTTGAATGTGATAGAGTCATTTTTTAAGTTTAATTTAGGTACTTTAGGTACATAATATGCAAAATAATTAATATATAAATGACAGGAAAATAGCCATTTCTTGGTCCCTTTTTCTACTTCTACTTTCCCTGACTTACCCCATGCGAATATCAAACGATTTGATTTTTATTTTACATTTTTGTTAATATATATTTTGAGCACTTACCATTCTAAAGCGAACATTCTACCGTTGCAATCCATAGAGTCGATCTGTTTAATATCATCTGAAGTAAGTTGGAAATCAAATATGTCAATGTTCTCGTTAATCCTGTTCTTATTTAGCGACTTTGGGATGGCTATTATGCCTCTTTGGATATGCCATCTGAGTACTACTTGAGCAGGGGTTTTATTATGTTTCTGGGCTATAGCTTTAATTTTAGCGTCCTCCAATACTTTTGGAGTGTTTGGCTTTGCATAATTACTACCCGGGGCTCCAAGTGTACTGTGAGCGGTAATTGTAATTCCTTTTGATTTGCAAAATTCAAAGAGTTTCTTTTGACTCAAATAGGGATGGCATTCAACCTTAAAAGAAATAGAATAGAAAGAAATTCATTAAGCCTTTGATAATAGACAAGCTTTTTCCATCTTCCATACTGTTCATAATTTAAGATACAACGCATACGAATGAGAAGAACATATTTTTAAAATGTAGTCAGTAAAATATTTGAAGATTTAAATGAAATTGGTAAAACTTAAGGATTTAAATTATTGGTAAAGGCTTTCGTGGCCAGTTCGTAAACTGGCGCTGTCCTGATTCGGCTCAAATGCCATCGTCGGTTGTAGTGCCATCCAGTCTACATCCAACATCAGAAGGACCTCTGAAGAAGCTCTCTACTCGCTAGGTAAACGCTAGGAAGCAACTCCAGCCGACGACGGCCTTTAGACCGTAATCGAGACAGCATCAATTATTATTCTTGGAAAGAAATACTAATAGATATTACATACAAAAATTGCATTCATCACTCACTTGATTTGTGACTGGTACAACTTTAGTCATTACAAGAAGCCTTTCGATCTGTCGCCTATTAAAATTAGATACTCCAATTGATTTGACGAGTCCTTTTTTGTAACATTCCGCCATTGCTTTCCACGTATCCACATAGTCAGCATCTCCTGGAATCACTTGACCATTTTCGTCTATTGGGAAAATATTATCGCCTGGCTGCAATGCATTGTTTATATGTCATTTAATCGGTAAAATATCGATAGCATCGTATATGTTCTTAGTTTAGAGGATGTATGTATAAGAACTGTATATCTCAAATCTCTAGATTTGACGATGGAATTTATTATGACTTGGATAGTTCTGCAAGTAATTAACTTCCAATTTAGCTACTATGAGAGACGAGGATGTCTTCCTTTACAAAATGATGCTATTTTTTAATTTCCCAAAATATAATGATTTAAAGTCTCGGTTTGTTGGTCTATACTTGGCAGTTCATGACCCATACCCCATTTTTGACTGATTTGCTACCCATCAAAACAAACACCTTTTCTTAATGTTTCGTGAAATAATTGATTTTTTAATTAATTTTGTACAGAAACCCTATCTTTTGGTGCTCGATATAAGTTAACTCATAAACCTATAGAACTGGATTGAATCATCTGTGTGTTACCAGTATGTGAAATATCTACCATTACCAAAGATTGGCTTACTGTTCCCGGATGTATTGTTTCAAAAAGAGATAGACATTGATAGTACGATCGCACTGTCTTTATTTTGATCGGGCACAGAGGATGCGTAGGTCCAATTCTATATGCTTATGATCAAACTTGATTGTGAGAAAATGCCCTCCATTCTTTTAGTTACCCTTAGTAATGATTCGAGGGGTGCTACTTCTCGTTGACTAACAATCTGACATTATAATGCTACTTTTAGAAAAACTGTGCATGTTTAACCAAATGCATTAAATGATAGTGTATCTGTTCGTACTTTAAAATCCAAAGCCTGATGCATCAAATATAGATCCAAATAGTCCACTCCCAAATCGTTTAACGACTCCCTAAGTGCTGGTTCGACAGCTTCCGGTTTGTGGAAAGTACACCACAATTTGCTAACAATAAAGAGGTCTTCCCTTTTGACAACATTCTCATCAATTTTTTCTTTGATCGCTTCACCAATTTCCTTTTCGTTTCTGTAAGCCCATGCGCAGTCAATATGCCTGTAACCGGCATCGATTGCATCCTTTACAGCTTGTTTTACTTCTCCTGGTTTAGACTGAAACGGATAACGAATAACTCTTGATAAATATGTACATATGGAATGATGAATTTTTCTGGGAGTCCCAACTACTATCTTTCATCTGTATTATCAGATTTACCATTCAAAAAATGAAGTGACTTCTTTGCTGTATTCAGTGTGGTTTAGGGTACATATACGAAATATGTGTGGCAAAAAAACCGACGAATTTATGTCCTATTATTCGAAATTTTTTAATAATTATTTAAAAGGTACAAATGCATTCAGTGTTATTTAAATTGCAATTCATGCAACAAGTAGTTGTCCATAAAAATGGAAATGAAAGCATTTCTATGAACGAGAGCCGCAAGCAGTAATCGATAAGGTTGCACGTTTGATATTACGACCAAAAGCCCTGCTAGGGCAGTTGTAAATTGTATCTAACAGTCTGTGCATTTTATGGAAGCTTTCCGGAAACAGCACAAATGCAGTAAAATAAATTTTTGTATTAAATACGTAATACAAAATAAGCAAGTGTACCTAGGTATAAATATATGTCGAGTATTTTTATTACGAATCATGCTAGGAGTTCCCGAGGTAGCCACCAGAATAGCAGCACCTTTGAATTATTCGGTGACGATCAATATACATTCACATGTAGGATATTGCTTTGCCACTCCTTAGGTCCTTAACCAAGGAAAAGCTAATAAAAGTACCGTTCTTGTTACATTATGTGTATATAAATATTATATTTTGAATAAAATAAATTTTTCATGAAAGTGAGAGTTACCTACTAACTGAATTGTGAATTTAATGCAAATGTTATGTTTCAAAGGATTTAATAAACTCAAACTAATTTTATTAGAGGTAGGTACTTTACTTACATCAAATGTGCCGTACCCCAAAATTGGTATTTCCACACCATTGTTCAGTTTCACTTTTGGTACTACGTCCGGGTTAACCATAATTGCAAAATCAACGTAGAAGATAACACGTCCAAACGTGAATGTGCTTTGAAGGCTACTAAAAAGTAGTAGGTGACTTTTATTTGCCTACTACGTATATAATTTTATTGATGAGTGATGGCTGTTGCTATGAACAGCAAATTGTAGATATCAACATTGATTATAATTTGATATCAAATTGATAAGATTGCGTTATACAAGATGTTTCAAAAATTTGGACTGTTACCGAACAGTCGTACAAAAGTTTCTTTGGTTGTTCACACTTAACACCCTGTATTTTATTAACCGAGAATATTTTACCAACTGAGCCTGTAATAAATGTGCATTATAACGTTTCAGGAAACCCGAAAATTTTTACTATTGATTAGGTCTTTATCAAAAGTACATTCATAAATATACTACTGATATAGTATTATTCAAACTTTTCTGAAACATTACAAAGCATTTTTCCCTTTTAACGATTATGCTTACCAATGACACGCTGATAGCTATTTATCGTTATTAGTTGGTACAGAAAAGTTGTTTTACTGAATTTTTGTTCATTTGACGGCAACTCATATATTGTTCTTATTTGGTTTAAGCAATCGTCCAAGTTAAAAATTAAATTAGTCTATTACGTAAATTTAAGAACAGCTATTATCTGGTCCATAATAATAGCTGTTACAACATACGAATTGTGTTTGTTTTTCATTATCTGTAAAGGACGTTTCCAAATCAAGGTCTCTCTAGTCATCGTTTAACGAAATACTTGCTGGCTTGTGTGTTACCTATAGTCGATATTTTTCGCGCAGATTTTAACGTTAAACGAATTGATGAATAATTTGCAATTCGGTGTACAATATCTGTAATTAAAGTTGTTTGTTATAGCAATTAGGAATTCAATTTAATTTTAACACTTACACCTACCTATTACATCATAAAAATTATACCTTATTTATTTCCAACTAGGTACTAAACATTACAACCGGGGGG